ACTTACTCAAATATCAAAAATCTTATGAAATAATTTGGGATTTCAGTGAATTAAGTGGAATTCCGATGAAATTCCAATAATTTTCCTGGAGTTCTAGAAAATTCCTGTAAAAATCACATGAAATTCTCGTGAAATTATTTGGAAGTTCAGTGAAATTCAGGTAAAATTATGTGGAATTTCGAAAAAATTGCAATGAAATTCCATCTATTTTCCGAAAATTCCACGTAATTCTTCCGGAATTCCAAGTTATTCTCGTAAAATTCCAAAAAATTCCCGTAAAAATTACATAAAATTTTCATGCAACTTTAAAAAATTCTTGTGAAATTATTTAGAATTATAGTGGAATTACGTGGGATTCCGGTAAAATTATGCGATACTGCGGAAGAATTACGACGAAATTTTCCGAGTACTCAACTCAATGCCTCCTGAATTTTAAGTTATTCTCGTGAAATTCAAGAAAATTTCCATGAAATTCCAAAATATTTACGTATAATTACGAGGAATTTCCGCTAAAATTCCAAAAAAAAAATCCTTAAAGTTACTGGTAATTTCAGTGGAATTTTCAAGAATTTCTATGGTACCTATCACTTGGAATTCTCATGAAATTGAAAGAAAAAATCGCAAAAATTTCCGTAAATTGCATAAAATTCTTGTGAAATTACTTAATTTTTTTATTGAATTTCCAAGAATTCTCCTGAAATTACATGGAATTCCCGCGTATAACTCAAAATTTAAGTGAAATTCTGAAATAATATGAAATTCCGAAAAGTTCTTGTGAAATTACTTAATATTCCTGTGGAGTAAATCGGAACTTTAGTGGAATTAAAAAAAAAAAAAATGTGAAAATTTCTTGGAAATTGCATGGAATTTTCGTGAAATTGAAAAAAAAAAATTCTTCTTGAAATTTCATTAAAATTCCGAAAAAATCCTGTAAAATTACTCGAAATTCCAAAAAATTCTTCTGAAATTTCTTAGGTAATTTTACTGAAATAAAATTATTACTTCAACTTCTTCTGAAATTATTTGGAATTCTAGCAAAATTTGAAGAAATTCCTTTGAAGTAGATCAAATTTCTGGTGAAATTCCAAAAAATTCACACGAAACTACTTAAAAAATCGTATAAATAATTATGAAATTCCAAATAAAAAAAAAAATCGTGAAATTATTTTTTAAATTTCAGCAAAATTTCAAGGAATTTTTATGAAATAACTCAGAATTTCAGTGGAATTCCAAAAAAAATTACGTGGAAATACCTGAAATACTCATGAACTATCAAAAAGTAATTTGTGAAATTATGTGGAATTTTAAAAAATTCCTGTGAAAATACAGAATATTTCTTTGAAACTAATTGAATTTTTAGTGGAATTCCGAAGAATTTTTAGAGAATTCTGGTGTGCAATTCATGAACAATCCTGTGACATTCTATAATAAGAATTTCAGTGGAATTTTGAAAAATTCTACACGAAATTCTCATGAAATATCAGAAAATTCCTTGGAACATTCCTGAAACATTCTACGAACATTCCCGGAACATTCTATAAACATTCTCCGCACATTCTTCAAAAATTTTCCAAAAAAAAACATGTTAAAACATTCCTGAAACATTCTATAAACATTCTTGGAACATTTTATAAACATTTCTAAAATATAAATTGCAAATTTTTCAAAAAAAAAAAAAATAAATGTTGAAACATTTCTGGAACATTTTTGGAACCTTTTATAAACATTCCTAAAATAAACGAAGTATTTCGAAAATATATTGAAATATTTTTGTCTTGATGTGACATTCTACGAACATTCCATAAACATTCCTGGAAGGGTACCCCCTTTGAATTCCAATTTCAAAATATTCTAAGCTTAATTGCTCGGTAACCGTTGGGCAAATTACATTGAAATTTTAAGCATTTGTAGCTTTTATTAGGCTTTAAATGGCCTGCAAATTCAGTTTGAAGTTTTTGACAAAATTTGGACCAAAAGTCAACTTCGAGGGTCAATTGCTCCAAAATTATCTGAGCTATCAAACTCAATTTTGCACGGATTTATAGATAATTTAATGCTCTTTCCAATGATATACATATATTTTATTTCAATTTGCTTGAAGTTTAGTAAAGATATGGGCAATTGCTCATGACCAGGTCAAGATTTTGAACATTTTCCAGAGCTAAAAATAAGTTTTCCTTTTTAATTTTGTTTCTGCCAAAAATAGCAATTTGGAAATGATGTCAGGGTTGTTTTCCACTAATTTTGACTCGCTCTATCGATTGGTGAAGTCAAAATTGAGCTAAACTGAAAATTAGAAAAATCGAGTTTTTCATAACGGTACCCCTGAAATTTTCAGTATTTGAAGTTTTTATTGAGCTCTAAATGGCCTGTAATTTACAATATTTTTAAATTTTATAATTTTTGAGCAAATTGAGTTTGAAGTTTTTGACAAATTTTGGACTAAAAGTCAACTTTGAGGCTCAATTGCTTGAAAACTATTTGAGCTATCAAAATCAATTTTACAGAGATTTATAGAGAATTTAATGCTCGTTCTGATGATATATAATTTGCTTAAATATAACAAAGATATAGGCAATTGCTCATGACCATGTCAAGATTTTGAAAATTTTCCAGAGCCAAAAATAGAATTTACTTTTTAATTTTGTTTTTGCTTAAAATGGCCATTTGGAATTGATGTCAGGATTGTTTTTTATTAATTTTGACCCACTCTATCGATTGGTAAAAACAAAATTGAGCAAAACTGAAAATTAAAAAAATCGAGTTTTTCATAAATGATGAATTCTAATTTCAAAATATTCTTACTTCAAATGCTCGGTAATCGTTGAGCAAATTACATTGAAATTTTCAGCATTTGTAGCTTTCATCAAGCTCTAAATGGTCTGTAATTTACAATATTCCCAGATTTATAGTTTTTGAGCAAATTAAGTTTGAAGTTTTTGACAAAATTTGGACTAAAAGTCAACTTTGAGGCTTAAATGCTCAAAAACTACGTGAGCTATCAAACACAATTTTGCACGGATTTATAGAGAATTTAATGTTTTTTCCAATAGTACATAATTTATTTTTTCTACAAACGTGTTAAAAATGCAATTTTTAACACCCCCTCGAAGCATTAAAAATGTTACTTTATCGCACTAGTGTTAAAAGTTTTTAAGGCACTAGTGTTAAAAATGAAACATCAAAATTTGAAAGCAAACGTCAAAAAAAGTTTGTATTTTTAATTATTTACATTAATATTAATGGTAAAATTTGAACAACTGAGGAAGCTCCTTCGGCCGCCTCCTCTATATTTTTCAAGGGATTGATGCAACCCTCTTTTTCTTGTGTATTTTGTTGCATTTTTAGCAATAAGCTCACTGACCACGATAGACTATACGACAGACTTTCAAGAAACTGACGAGACATTTCATTCCCTGTAAAACAAGGTGCTGGTTGTTTGAATTTTTTGACAAATATCAACTTCAATAATTTTATGTAGGAAAGATGCTTCCAATTTATTATTTCTTTAAAAATCCAATTTGTCACTGGTTATTGCTTGTTATTGCCGTTTGTAGAAAAAATATTGTATGATATTTGTGTTAAAAGTATTTTTAAGGCACTTATGTGAATTGCAGAATTCGCTTCGCTCATTCTGCAAACTTTCACATGCGTGCCTTAAAAATGTACTTTTAACACTTATATCATAAATAACTATTATATCCTACTGAACTATTAAAACCATATAATACCTTGGTTACGATAATCATAAACAGGGTCTTAACTCCCAAGGGAGTTAAGGATTTTCATAACTCCCAAGGGAGTTAAGGATATCATAACTCCCAAGGGAGTTAAGGATTTCCATAACTCCCGCTTTTACCTTGAATAGGTAACACTTTGACATAAAATAGAAATTTTGATTTATGGCTTATTCCTTTATAAAAATAGACATAATACAGTAAATTCAGTAGGATATAAAATTATCTATGTACCACGGGAATTATCAGGAGTTAATACCCACGGGCAATTGGTGTCCCTCGGGCCGGAGGCCCTCGGGACACAAACGTTGCCCTGGGGTATTAACACCTGCATAATTCCCTTGATACATAAATAACTATTAATTTGCTCGAAATTTAACAAAGATATGGGTTTGATGGTTTTATTTGTTTGAGAGGTTTATTTTCAGTAGTAATATTGATAATTGTCCGAAAATAATTTATAGCAGATTTCGAAAGCTTGTTGCTTGTTGCTCTATAAGCAACAAGCTTGAGAAAGTTGTTATAAAATTTTTGAGCATTTATCAATGTTCGACGGTTATTCGTATAGAAATTTTTTTGACAGCAATGTCCGAGATGAAACCGACCCTAGGGCTGTTTTCAGTATAATTTTGACATGATTGGGTGATTTGTGTCACATGACAATAAATAACAAAACTTAACTGGCTGTAAGAACTGTCAAAAAATTTTCAATAAAACTCGATGGGTATGATTTTTTTTGAACTGAAAACTTCTTAGGCGGTTATCTGATAATTTGACGAGAATGGAGAGTGATTTGAAAGACTCGTCACGTTTTGGGAAATTTCGTTACACGATAAGAAGAAAGATATAACGTAGAGAGACGGAGAAAAACAGCTAATGATAATGACAGCCGACGAACGATTGACACAAACCAAGGAGGATTGTCTATTATTGTCAAGCGTCGATACCCATCTGACGTCACTACAGATGCGTGACTTTCTTTTGTATTTTTTCCGTCTTTACCCCGACTCAGATGCTGTCTAAAAGTTGTATGAGGGGAAATAGTTTGTAGGGCGCTGCACATGATTTTTTTTTTGCTTCAAGATCTATGGCGGCCACTTTTTTCAATCGGCCGCCTGTGTGTTTTGAACACACCGCACACATGGTAGCGGCGGCCCTGGTTTTTAATGTTTTTCTTACCAAATTTTAATATTGAACAATATATTTACAAATATACAGGGTACTCCAAGAACAAGTAACTAACAATTTAAATATTTGTTTCAGGATCGTCCCCAGACTTGATGCCCAGTATTATGGGCGCGTTCGATGCCTACTTGAATCGAGATTCTGAAACTTCGTTCAAAACGTCAACCCCAAAACGTACGCATCAATTCAGCAATTTCACTCATCTGTCGCCGTGCGTCCAAAAAATACTCAGCAACGTGCCTGAGCAAGAAGTGAATAAAAAGTTTTACTCAGAAGAGACCTTAAGTACCAGAAGGAACCGGTACGGATATAGGAGTCTTAGAACGACAACCGATAATAAAAGCCAAGAGAATCTAGACTATAATATATCGCCAGGCGTACATAAAATGATCTCAAATTTGCAGGATTCAGAGTTGGTGATAAAAAATAGGAACCATTCGTACTTGTTTCCGCGTGGATCTAATGGTATAAGTGATAAAAAAAGTGATATTTGTGATTTAAGTGATAATGTTGTGAATAGTGAAGGGTATGTTCCTGTTCCTTTAGGAAGTTATCTGCATTCTGATAAGGGAATTGCTTCCAGGACGCCGGTTGGACGTAAAAATATGGGGAAATATTTGCAGGTGAGTTTGTTTGAATTTTAGTACTTATGTTTTAACGATCAAAACAGCACCCAAATGTTTCGTTATGTGTTTTGGTAAATATGGGCACTACTGCAGGTAATATTGATTTGTTTGTTTCTATCTGCATTAGATGATTCATTTAGCTTAGAGATTAATTCCCTTTCATTTGGGGTAAAACTTGATAAAACCTGTTCATTAAATACTAATACTAGTAACTAACTAACTTGAAGGAAATGGGTACTCCAAGCAGGAGATAAATAGAGCTATAGGATCGGAGCAACAGTGCACAAATAACAAGGAACCAGCACAGGTGGCAGGGAGAGCCTTTTTTCCCTACATCAAAAATGTCACAGATGTAACGCTCTTTTGTCGAAACAAAAGAATGTTCATAATTTGTGCTCGACTATTGCTCAGTGGTTGTTTAGCTTGGGGTGGTACAGTAGAGAGAGGGCGCCACTAGTTTGTAAAAATTATTTTGATTACCAAGGAATAGCCAAACTAGGCACTATTCCAACAATTAGTTATTGTTTAAAAAGATAAATGCAAAAATCTAAAAAGAAACAAAAAATATCCAAAATCCAATAGCTATCTGACATTTAACCCATTCAATAAAAACACAAGCTTTGGAATTCTAAACACAATAATTTATTAATTAAATGTCATTAAAAATTTGTGACAAGATGGCGAACTGTTGGTCTATGGTTCTAAGAAAAATATTGTCTAGTATCCAAGAAATTTTTTTTAAAAAAATTATTAAACAGCTTTCTAAAAGCAAAACTTAATTAAACTACGTATAATAGGATTGAAATTCAAAAACAATTAACAGATACCTATGATGAAACTTACCTAAGTATAAATGATAAAGTCATAATATCATTAACCTTTAATTTTTGACTCAAAGTCAATCAAATCAATAGAAACAAATTCATAAATTCTGAAAGATAATAAATAATCCCTAGGGAGTCAAAATTGTCAAAAACCTATAATCAGGGTGTCGGGGAGAGCTCTATCGTCTCACCTGTTATTAAAATTCAACATATTATGTAAAGTTAAAAATACAACTTAACTACCCAAAGATTTTACATGGGATTACCTTGTGGAATTACCACCTTATTGATTTGAAACTAAAGGTTAAATTAACCTCTAAAAGTTAATGAGTCCTAGATACAGTATATCGATCAGCATTCGATACAAAAGAAATAAATTTGTAACAATTACAACAATCCATAATTATTGGATACTAGATAATGACACTGAAAACGATAATAAAGGTAATTATCTGATTATGATAATAATTCATTAATCAATTGAAAATTATATAAAACTGTAGTTAGCTATTTTAGCTAAATACTACAATACGGTAAATAAGTCGGTAATTGATTTTTTCTATTTTGGTGTCATATCGAAGTCTTTTCGACACTAAAAGTAGTTTCGAAAAGAAGCTCTTTGTGACACTGCTTTTTTACTTATCGGAGGTTGGTAACACTGGCTGACTGATGGCCATCGAACTGTCATTCGCGATTTTATAATAGAAGATTTCTATAGTTGGCATGTAGTGTTACCAACCTAAACTATGAAATCAGGAAATATGAGAATAAAATTCCAAGAGAAATTTGTTTTTTTTTAATTAAACAATTCCAAAATAGAAAAAATGGTATAAAATATTCGTTTCATAAGACATTTTATCGCACTCGCCCTTTAGAAAACTCGCCTCCGGCTCGTTTTCTAATATAGGGCTCGTGCGATAAAATGACGTCTTATGAAACTTGTATTTTAATGTACTATTATAACTATGATTTAGCTAATTAAGCTAATCGATAGTGAGCAATAAAGAAAAAGATAATAATAATTAACAGTTATTAATATTTATAAAGATAATTATTAGCTAATAAAGCTAATCGATAGGGAGCGGTAGAAAAAAAATAATAATAGGTAACGGTAATTAATAAGGCACAGTTACGGGACCCATAGGTAAGTAATTATACAAGCCTGGACGAAATCCTTGGAAATTTTCATAAATTTGAGATCCAGAAGCACCAAACTGACGGAAGGCAATCATCCAATGGTCGGGGATCAATCTCTTACAAGACACAACTTTCCATGTTGAGGGGGCCCAGACTTGCTTTGGAAATGCAGTACCGCATGGTCTCCACCTTGTCAAATTTTCACCCAGAAGTGTAGGCGTGGATTTTTAATACTCTCCCAAATTGCCTGAACGGATTGAAGAAATATAAGGACTCATTTATCAAAGGGAAAAAGGGATTTACATACCTGAACGGCCGATAATTAACCTCACTTTCAAAAATTTACACAAAAATCAACAATCTATTGATTTTTCAGGAAACGTTCCAGCTGACATAATAATTACTCACTACTCTGGCTAGTTAAATTTATATAATTTTGGGCTCGATGGCCAAGAATGAAAACCAAAGTTTTTGGATTTTCCAGAGACGACCTTTTCAGTCTAACTAAAATCTGTTTTTTTTTTTAATGATAAAAGTCAAAATGACATTATGTTGGCAATACAATGGAAAGTTGTCAAGCTTTCAAATTTTTTATGTAGAAAAGGTTTGTGTTGCCAACATACATAGTCACTAAATTTTTGACTTGGGAAATTATCTTTAAAAAAAAAACAGACTTTATAAATCGAAAAAAAAAAAGTCAAAAGTACCAAACTGTCGTTGTGTCTTTCTTCCTCTGTCAAGCCTGTCGAAATTATAAAAATGATAGTGCTACGAGTTTTTCTTAAAAAAACCTTAGTTCAGTTCGGCTGGAGTGCGAATGGAATCACTCGGAATGCCGGAGTGAGCAAACCGAAACCACCTTTTGATAATATAATTTTCGGTATTAGGTCAGAAAACTAGTCAGAGGAATCATAGATGTCGCCAAGTGTACGAAATAGAATCTTAAATTTAGAGCAGGTAAAAGACATAAGGAGTAGGAACGCACCAGCTCTAAGATTTTAAATAAGTCCAAAATATATGAAATTAATTAAGAACAATTAAATATGTTCTTGTGACATTTCAAATGTTACACATATCGCATAGGACGAACGCTAAAAAGACACAACATTAAGCCCAGCTACAAGCTCACAAGAACAATTCAGCAAAGTCTAAAATTGGCCTAGGATCTTAGATCACCTCTTGAGACGACTGGCGTCTATAGAATTCCCTGCTCTTGTGGATCTGTCTATGTAGAAACAACCAAATGCTCTATCATCACCAAGGTCAATAGAGCACAACAAAAACTGTCAGCAGGGACAAATAGATAGATCAGCAATCGCAGAACACTTGTTAACACAAACAAACCATGTCATTCGTTTCGACCAGACTCAAGCATTGGATAAAACCAAACATTTCTACACTAGACTCCACAGAGAAGCCATTGAGATACAGAAACACCACAACAACTTCAGCAGAAAAGAAGAGGGCATGAACCTCAACAAAAGCTGGCTGCCAGCTCTCCGAAAAACAAAGACCCTTCCTTTTCGAGAACGAGACAAGGAAAATAGCGTAATACAAGCTCACCCACAACCCGGGATATAAGTAACGCAGGTCCAACAACGTCAAAGCCAGTCATCGGAGGAACACGGAAGAGAACAATTCGTCTTCTAACACACCGCCTTCGAAGATGATTACCGCAGCAGTAGACGAAACGTTTGACAGACACAAGTTTAGGTTTTAGAAAATCGTAAAATATAGTGGCGCCTGTCGTATTAATAAATATATATATATATGTACTTAAAAAACGACGCTCTTTGTCGACTCTCAAAGCATTTTTAAACTTAACAACTAACTGACCAAGACATCAAATTCTTGAAAAGTCTTTCTATGTGCCGGGTGCCTATCGTAAATTTCTTTAGAGAATGACTATGGATTGCGAGTACTACCATCTTCTAACATTTCCAACCATTATTGACAGAAAAATCAGATTTTCAAAGACTGGTTGAAGGTGATGGGCGTCTGTCGTAATTCATTTCTTCAGAATATGACGTTGGAGAGCGAAATTTACCTTCCGAAATAAAAATTAGTCTTTGGTAAAATGATTGAATGTCGAGTTGAATGTATAGGGGGCGCCAATCATAAATAATTTCCTTTGAAAATGTATTGGCTAGAAAATGAAGTTGGAGGGCGATTGTCATTGCTTTCAACAAATTGAAATGAACAAGTTCAGTTTTTGTAAAATTTCATCAGTTATGTTTTCTCCTCCGACGAACCGTTCAGGCTCAATCGTTAGTTGAAAAATGGCGTGTTTTATCTTTTCCCACAAAAACCCACTTTTTATCTGCAAAACTCTTATAGTCCAGGAGGCAGTGAAATTTTTTAGCACTTATTTTCCCAGTTGGTGTCTATTAAATAGTTTGTTCTCCTGGTGATACAAAGCTAGAATTTTTGAGTCTGGCTAAAATTTTCGCATGGGTTTACAAGATCACCGAAAAATACATGTACACTTATTTTCCAAGAGATAAATATTTCAAATTTACTACAATAGAACATAAAGTATATGAAAATAGCAATTTGGCTTATCTCAGATAGTGAAAGTGAGTCTGGCTGAAAATTTTCGGATCTTCAATTTTTCACTTGCCAGGCATATTATCCATACTCACAGATTAGCCGGACTATTTTTTTTTGCGTCTCAACCCATCGGAAAACTCCCCTAAAAATATATGTATTTTGCTTAGGGCCAAATTATGGACCAACTGGTGAGTGTCTGGTTGTTACCTAGCAGGTACTTTCTATTCTCTAGTGCATAGAAAGTACCAGCTAGGTACAGTCCATAATTTGACCCTTAGAAAAACTAACCCTACAATTTTATCCATGTTGTCTGACTGGGAAAATAAGTACCGAAAATCGTCACTGCCTCCTAGACTATTATTTTTATTATTAAATAACATTATCTTCATCACTTTATTATTGAATTATTAGAAGGCTCCTCGATGGCGGAAAGTCCTGGCAGAGGATCGGGTTCTTCCAACCATCGGAGATTGAGAGAAATTGTGAAAAACAAACTCGTGATTTTGCGATTATGCATAAATACCACATCGTATGAGCGTTCGTCTTCAGACAGTTCTAGGTCTCTTTCTTCGGCCCCTTCTTCGTCTCTCAATGATATTGTCTGGGGTCTTAACGTTTTCACACAACCCGTGTTACGTTCAAATTTTGCCTTAGACCGTAATTGGAGATTTCAAATAAATTCAGTAATTAATTCAGGTATTTGTGAGGGTATTTATGAAGCCTTATACCTGAGGTTTAATATTTTTCAGTGGTTGATAGGTTTCTCATTGGATTTTACTAGATTTTTGCCTTTTTGTTTGGATGCGAAACAATATCTAGTTGTTAAATAAAGGTATATTTTTCGAGGTAATAATGAGTAAATTCTTTGTATTCAGATGACAGGGTAGTTTTAGGATAATAAAGCCCTACTGTTTGGATCGAAATCTATTTTATTTAGCTTTCGAAAGTCATCTAAAAGGACCTGAATGTCGATAATTAATTAGTGTTAGGGGAGAAAATTTAATAACAACTTTGGGTTTCGTTTGTCATCATTGTGATTTGGGTTGTTCCGTTTCAAGCTGATTGTTCCGTTTTCCTGGTCAAGACCGGAAATCTGGCACCAGAGGGCATCTTGGAAAAACAAATGGAATTCTAGAACATTTTTCATATTGAGCTCACCTAATAAATCGCTGAAAATAAGGTCGTCCTTTTTAAATTCGCACGTTGAGCAAACAACAAGTGGCAGATTTTACCAGCCGTCCTCTTGGCTACGTTCCTGGGAACATCCACCTTTTGTGGGATTTTGGAGGCGTTGGAAACTCAAGTGGGTGCTGGCTCTATTAGTTTTGGGGTGAACTTGGATTTGGTCGTAAGTCCCCGTATTTTTAAGCCAATCACTCAGAATTTTCTGGCGACGAGAATCTTCGCCATTTTATTGGTTTGTCGTGTGAGCAGAGAGCACGTTTCGTTCAACTAGCCCAAACAGTAACCAGGTAAATTTAATAGTTTTTATCATTCTGAATTTACCTTTCTCGTTATCAATATTTAGATTAGCTTATCTGTATTATTGTAAATATTTGGGATTCAATAAAAAAAGGGAATTTGACCTCCACGAGGGGCCATTTGTCAGTAAAAAACTCATTAGTCATTTCAAAAGAGGGCATTAATGGCCTGATTAATAATTAAAGGTTTTTTTTTGTAAAGACAAGACAGGTTTCAGGGGATTTTGCTATTTTAATTTTTTAATTCCAATCATTTATATACCATTTAAGGGTTAGGATTTTCATTCTTATAAGTATGAATGAGTTCTAAGAATTTGTACTCTTTTAGGGTTTTTCTTAGGATACTAGATTGTACCTTTCCATTGGGTTTTCCTCTTTCGGCGTTTTTGTGAGGTGTCATAGTGCCCACAACACTGAATTTTAAACCGAAGTATACTCTATTTAAGAAGGGAGTTAATAGAAGTTGATGGGGTTTGTTATCCAGGCTGTGAGGCTGTCAGGAGACAGTTATAGAAATTGGTGTTTAGACTGCAGGGAGGACCACAAAGGGGTGATGTACCCGTAAATTCATTAACGTTTCTTAATTATTATTTTTAATTATTATTCATGGTATTTTCTTATTTACTTGGTATATTTCAAAGGTTGTTTTACTGCCTTAATTATTACAATGGGTATACAGTACCAATGATTTTTAATGTACTATATTTAAGGTGACATTTTTGTACAAACCCGCCCCGGTATAGGTACCATGATATAACCGTGTACAGGTTTTAATTAATATTATTAATTTTTTTATTCCTTAACTATTCTCTTTTACTCTCATTGTGGTAAGGTGGTCAAAAATTTATTGGTTAATCTTGAATTTGTAAGAGTATCTTATAAGACCATTACAAGTTGGTTCTTGCTACCTTTGCGTAATTTTAATTTTACATTTAATAATAATATATACTGTGGGTATTTTATATATTATATTGCCTTCTAGTGGTCTTTGTAATGCAATTTCAGGTCTAAACATACCCCCCCAGAACATATTAAATAGTTTTATACTCATTGTTTTTATATTTGACTCTTATTTTACCCCTACTGACCTCAACCAAACTAAGGTAAAGTTGTTTTAAGAGGATAGGTACATCGGGTAGGTACATTTTTATAGGAATTTTGGAGATCAGGGACTTTCTGGTTAAAGTCCGCAGATGTTATTTTGTAAACCAGTGGCGCCCTATTAAGTTAACTTTCAATATTAATCCTACTCCTACACCACTGAGTAGCCGTGAGCACTTTGTTGCACTGGCCGCATTCCTTAAGAATGTTTTACTGTACCTAGGCCTATTAGGGTTTATATAATCAAATTCTTTATTCAAACAGTTTAAGGGTTAATTTTTGCACAACACCCGTTGTATATTGGAGAGCAATAAAGGCTTGTCTTCCTGCACCCACAATTCCGCTGGCAGCCTTTCTTGCATCTACAAGGTATGCGCTGGAGTATTACGTCCTGTGCTGATTTGGAACGGGCACAAGAGCGCTGTTTTTTTTTCCATCCCCACTCGTTCGGGCCTCATTGTTGTTCATTGAATATAGTTTGTCCAGATAACCACTGCTGCACCTAAAAGTAAACTATCTGTGAATGTTCTCGTGCAACAGCTTCAGTGGGAGATAGTGCCGCAATGTTGCGTTTGTCGACTCTCAAAGCAATTTTAAACTTAACAACTAACTGACCAAGACATCAAATTCTTGAAAAGTCTTTCTATGTGCCTATCGTAAATTTCTTTAGAGAATGACTATGGATTTCGAGTACTACAATCTTCTATCAGATTTTTAAAGAGTGGTTGAACGTGGTGGGCGTCTGTCGTAATTCATTTCTTCAGAATATGACGTTGGAGAGCGAAAGTTACAATCTTCGAAAATTTGCAACGAAAATAAGAATTCAGTCTTTGGTAAAATTTTTGAGTGTCGAGTTGAATGTAGTGGGCGCCAGCCATAAATAACTTCCCTTGAAAATTCATTGGCTAGAAAATAAAGTTGGAGGGTGACAGACGCTTTCAACAAATTGAAATAGACAAATTCAGTTTTTGTAAAATGGTTTAATTTTAATGTAGTGAGCGCCTGTCCTAGTAAATTGTGTCGAAAAATCTCCTTGTTTGGTTTGCCTCTCTCATATTGTAAAAAACGGCTACTTGACAAAAGAATAAAGTTTTCATACAATGGTTAAGTGGTGGGCGAGTGTCATACATAATTTTTGTAATGTAAAACTTGCATTAATTCAACAGGAAAATTCAACTTTTTGGAAAAATGGTGGGTAAGATATACTTACCCATGCTACTACTACTATAAAAACACAAACTGACCTCATATTGAATCACACTCAACCTGTTTATAATACTGAAACCAGGAACAACTAAAAGAAATTTAAATACAGGTTTGTGGGAGCCGTAAAACCCTCCTGATCTATGCCCTATTGCAAAATTATTTTCTGTACCCCATTCTGGCGTGCATTCGAAATAAGATGCATATCGTCAAGTTGCTTAGAATGTGCTTTTCGCCTTTTGGTATCTTCAGGCACAATCTTATTCCTTTCTCGAGATGCAAATTGGCCAAATGGTTTAGTAACACTACTAAGAGGACAAAATCGTTTCCTGCATTCATGCATCTGAAAGTAAATTCAGAGAATTTGCAACTTTATTGGCTCTAAAGAGAATTTTTAAGTGCTAATATCAGATTCCTTAAAACAAACACATAATTATTTTTACCTAATGGAATTATTAATGATTTTCCTAATAATATAGATAGATAGGCGCCACACCACAAGTCCCTCTAATTAAATGCCGGTATGTCACAATACCAAACTATCCACATAAATTGCTTTTAATGAATAAGAAAGCTTTATCTTATTTGACGCCTACAGAATGTTACGCCACCTACTTGTGGTCACGATAATTATGTCACATTCTAAGCTTTGAGCGTGACCTTAACATGGATATGGTACATAATATGGTTGAAAATATGCAACTAAGAAAAGTGATTATTTTTGTTCCTATTGTAATTTTTTCCTCAATGATTAATTTTGATTTTTGGAACCCATTGAAGAGACAATATCATTTTCAAAATATTCAGTAACAAAAAGCCAACTCATAAGGTATTTCTTATCACGTGAAATTTAAATATTTTTCATGATAACCCCTCTTTCATATTTAGTGATACCTTCCACCAGCCGTGGAAGCAGAATTTATGTCTAAATAAGTATGCAATATAAATCTAGAATTAATAGGACAGGATTGGTTGCGGACATATTATCAAGTGAAAATAATTGTAAAAACATTCCTCTTTTTCAGATTCCTAGTGAAAGTTCCACCGGCGGTATAACCAACAGCACTGCCTCATCTTCAGAAGTCTCCAGGCCTGTTTCTTTGACTAGTTTGGGCTCGTGCTCATCATCGGGCAGTAGCAACGGACATTTGCACCATCACCAGCCTGAATCTGCCTATCTAGCTTCAGCAGAAAGTTTGGACAGCGATCCGGAACCTGGAGGAATCAGGCAAGGTATGAATTGAAATACAATTTTCAGAGTTGAATTAACCTTGAGACAATTTTATACAAACCATCGATTACCTCTCAAACTTAACTATTCTATATCAAACTGAAGGCTTAAGATTCTATATTCGCGAAGAAACTTTTTCTTGCCTATTTGTTTGTTACAATTTAATTACCATTTTCTAATGTTTACCTTTCCGTCCATATTATCACGGATTCCGGGTTCACTTAAACTCACTTTATATAAAATTTACTTTTTGTAACAGGCATTATCAGATACCCAGAACTCAGAAGAGTTATAATATACCAGTTTTTATCCACGCTTCTCCCTATTGTAGCTATTATACTAATATATATTTACAGCGGTCCGTAACTACCTACTTAAGTGGGCAGTAAAAATAAAATAAGGTGTTGACTTTTATATATGCCCAACTAGGACAAAAAACTTATTAATTCTTATATTTAAGGCGTTGAGTTATTATTATCATAATTTTTTTCGGGTACCACTTTGTGTGGGTAGTACTCGGGTATCCAGGTAGTACTTAGGTATACCAGCGGGACAGGTAATGTGTGGGACGATTCTTATGGGTTTTAATTAATTATTTACATTATAAAAATAAATATCACTGACTGACTGTTTCATTGACCAATTTGTATCTTGCTTGATTTTGTTGTCTTGTTAATTTCAAATAATATCATTCATGACATGTCCAGATTCTATTTGAAGGAAAAAAAATATTGTTTTTCTTGTTCCGAATGATTAGTTTGGACCGAGGGGTGGTTAACTGGTCAAAATCCGTCTACAAGTTGGTCGAAATCCCAGAAAATCTCATAGGATCTACTAAAAATCCCTAAAAATCTTTGAAATCCTTAAAAACTTAACAAAATCCCACAAAATCTCTTGAAATTACATGAAATCCTACAAAATCTAACAAAATTTCATTAAAAACAAAATACTTGCAAAATCTCATAAAATCATTAACATTCCTGAAAAATATTTCCTTTGGAATTCCCAAAAATCCTTTGGAATCCCAAAAAATTTGTTAAAGTCTCTCAGAATAGGGTAGTGGACAAGGTATAATTTCAATGAAATCGATGATCTATTCTTCATCTATGGAGTAAATAAAAAATATTCCGTATCAAAAGAAATTTCAGATAAAATTACTAACCTTGTTTAAAACGCCGGTAAAAGTAGAGTTTTGGGACGCACTATTTGAACGGAAATATTTCGCGCCCTGATTCTACGTCATAGCTGTTGTATTTAAGTATGAATTAAATAAAACCTACGTCCGATATTCGACACAAACTTACTCTTCAGTGCAAAAAAGAGAGATATATCAGCATCTCTCGGGTAACATTTAGGCGCACCCTCAACATAACCCCACTTTTTGAGAGAATTCTATTTATCAATCAGTGCGTACTGAGTTTATCGGCATCTTTTTCTAACAGCATGTAAAATATAAGGACGCGCTATTGGACAAACATAACAGCTATGACGTAATTTCCTGGCGGTAAATTATAGCGTTTAAAATAAGTACAAATTTGTTAATTTTTTTAAACGTATATTTTTGTTTTCTAAAATCAAAGAATCATCAAAAATTGTTTAGTTTGTAATGAAGATTATTAAAAAAAATATTTCAAAAAATTGTCCACTACCCTATTCCATAATTTAGTGGAATTTCGAGGAATTTCGATAGAATAATTATGTTATGCTGAAAAAGAAATTACATGTGAAATTTTTACATAGAATTCACATTAAATTTCAATTCCTCTCGAATTACATGAAATTTCCGTGAAATTCCGATCGAATTACAGGAAATCCTAAATGAATTACATAGAAGAATTCTAAACAATTATATAAAATTACACCGAAATTCCCAACATGAAATTTCAGTTCTTACTGCATTTTAGTAAAATTTCAGAAAATTTCACAAGTGGAATTTCCGGCTAAAAACATGGAATTTCGGTGAGATTCCGAAAAATTCCCATGTAATGACATGAAATTTCAATATATTTCGGTGAATTCCCAGAAATTCCTGGCTATTAAAAGAGAATTTTAGTGAAATTCCAAAAAATTCTTATGAAAAAAAATTAAATTTTGAAAAATTCCTTGGTTTCATTGGACTTTCGAGAAATCTTCGGCTATGAAAGTGAAATTTCAAAATATTCTCATAAAATTTTAGTGAATTCCGAGGAATTTTTAAGAAATAACATGAAATGTCGATGAAATTCCGAAAAATTTTATAAAAGTTTTGTGGAATTCCAGGATATTTCAGTGGTAAAATTTTGGGGAATTTCAGTAAAATAAAAAAAAAAAAATATGGAATTTTGAAATTGAAATTTTAGTGAAATGTTAAGGAATTTCTATGGAATTACTTAAAATTTTCGCGGAATTTCTATGGAATAACTTGAAATTTTAGTGGAATTCCGAAGAATTTCATTAAATTTCATAGTGTAATTCCGAGGAATTTTTGTGCAAGAATTCCATTAAATTTTATGGTGGAATTCCATAGAATCTTATGATGAAATTCGGAAAAGTATTATGAAATCTTATAGTAAAATTCCTAGAAATTTACGTTTTTCCATTCAAATTTATCACTTGAATGGAATTTCGAGGAATTCCATAAAATCTTCTGGTGAAATTCTAAGGAATTTCTATGGAATTGACTTAAATTTTCGCGGAATTCCCATGGAATAACTTGAAATTTTAGTGGAATTCCGAAGAATTTCATGAAATTTTATATTGTAATTCCGAAGAAAAAAAAATTCCAAGAATCCCATTGAATTTTATAGTGTGAAATGTACAATTTTCGCGAAGTTTCCATAGAATTCACATTAAATTTTAGTTCCTCTCGAATTACATGAAATATGGAATTTCGAGAAATTAAATAAAATTTCAGTGGAATTTCGATCGAATTACATGGTATCCTAAATGAGTTGTATGGAGGAATTCTAAACAATTACATAGAATTAACCGAAATTCCCAATATGAAATTTCAGTGGTCGTTAAATTACATAAAGAACTTTAAAAAAGTTTCAAAAAATTACATGTATTCCGAGGAATTTTCGTCGAATTATATGGAGCTCCGATGCAATTGCATGGAATTCCAAGAAATTGTCAGGGAATTACATGATATTTAAGTGGAATTTTGAACAACTCTTATCGTTTCATAAGGAATTCCAGTGAAATTCCGAAAAATCCTAATGTAATTACATGAAGTTTTATTTTTATTCCAAGGAATTCTCAGTTAAAAACATGGCATTTTAGTGAAGTTGAAATTCCGAAAAATTCCCATCGAATTACTGAATTTTAGTAAAATTAGAGAAAATTTCACAAGTGAAATTTCGAGGAATTTCCGGCTAAAAACTTGGAATTTCGGTGAAATTTGGAAAAATTTCCATGTAATGATATGAAATTTCAATATATTTCGGAGGAATTTCGGTGAATTTTCAAGAAATTACTTGCAGTTTCATTAATATTCCCAGAAATTCCCAACCATTGAATAAGAATTTCAGTGAAATTCCGAAATATTTTATCAAAATTTTGTGGAATTCCAGGATATTTCACTGGTGAAGTTTTGGGGAATTTCAGTAAAGTTCTAAAAAAATTATGGAATTTGGAATTTCTATAGAATTTTGGAGAATTTCAGTGGTATTTCGAAAAAAAAAAAAAAACTATGGAATATTCGCAGAATTTCCATCAAATTATATATAATTTCACTTTGTGTCGACTTACATAAAGTTTAGATGAAATGTGGAGTAGAATTCCGAGGAATTTTCGTCGAATTACATACATAGAATTCCTTGAAATTTTATTGTGGAATTCCAGTGAAATTACATCGAATCCGAAGAATTCCCTTGGAATTAAACAGAATTTCCGTGGAATTTCCATGGAACCACGAAAAATTTCGGCGGAATTTCGAAGAATTGAATTAAATTTTAGTGAAATTCTGAGTAATTTCTATGGAATTAACAAAAATTTTCGCAGAATTCCCATGGAGTAACTTGAAATTTCATAAGTAGTGTAATTCCGAGGAATTTTTGTCCAAGAATTCCATTAAATTTGATGGTGGAATTCCATAGAATCATATGATGAAATTCGGAAAAGTATTATGAAATCCTATAGTAAAATGTCTAGGAATTTCCGTTTTTCCATTCAAATTTGTCATTTGAATTTAGAATCCTAAAATATTTCAAAAACCCCTAAAATGCTCCAGAATCACCCAAAATTTTGAAAAATCTAAAATCTTCTGAACTCCTGCAAAATCGTGTAAAGATTTTCGAAAATTTCCAAAATCCTACAAAATCAATTAAGATTTAAAATGTGTTCATTATTTTATAGAGTTAACTAAACCTCGGAGCGGTTGATTGGTCAAAGTGTACAAGTCCAGAAAAACTTGTAAGATATATTTAAAATTTCTGAAAATCTTTTAAAATTTAACTAAACCTCACAAAATCCCTTACAAATCACTTGAAATCGCATAAAACTTTACAAAATCACACAAAATTTTATAAGAATAAAAAAAATCTGGCAAAATCTTATAAAATCATTAATATGTACCTATTCCTAAAAAAAAATTCCTTCAAAATTTCCAAAAATCCTTTGAAATCCTCAAAAATCTGTTAAAATTTCTAAAAATCCTTTAGGATCTCTAATGGCCGTTTCGACCAACTATTTTAGGGGAGCTATCTATCTATCTCAAAAATCTTTCAAAATCCTGTAAAATCACGTGAAGTTTTTGAAAATCCTCAAAATCCTACAAAATCAATAAAGATTAAATTATGTACACACTTTATGGAGTTAACTAAACTTCGAGCGGTTAATTGATGAAAATTTGTATACAAGTTGGTCAAAATCCCAGAAAAACTCGTAAGATCTACTTAAAATCCCTGAAAATCTTTAAAAATCCAACAAAATTCCGGCAAAAGCCTATAAAATTCCTTTAACATTTTCAAATAATAACATGGCAAGACTGTTTTCCTTCTAAAAACATAATTTCCAACCACTT